CGTTGTGACATCCTGGTTAGTCAATTTAGATATATGTTATGCCATGCTAATTCAGCCAAAAATTAATCTAATGAGTACAATATGTCAAGTCAATATGTTTCAAAGTTTGAAGATGCAGTTAAAATTTAAGTTAAGGTATAAATTTAGTACCTAAACCTTAAGAGTTTCAATAGATCTCTAGCTTCCAAAATGTATAATAAGTCAACTTTAAATGTTGTGTCTAACAAGTCGCCTTTAAAAAGTATCAAGTGGGGTCACAAAAAAATTTTCAATTTTGTATCTATTAAGTCCAAAAGTTATTAGAAAATTTTCAATAGTTACCTAACATGTTAGATAAGTTTTACATGTTTTTTAAACTTTTGAAGTTGAAGGACCTATTAGAAAGTTCTTGGACTATATTTGTAACTCAACCTAAAATATTACAATGTTTGGGGAGTAAATAACAGGGGTGTAAAGAATCGAACCAACCAAAAAAACCGAATCGAACCGTGTTGTTCGGTTCGAGTCGGTTTTGACCCAAACAACCAAGGCTTTTGATAAAACAGAAACCCTACTCAGTTCCATCTTTTATCTCTTGCTTCCTCTCTCGACAAGCGGCTACCCACGACACAAAATCACGGCACACGAGACAATGACCAAAAGCCAGTTGTCGTCGCAATTGGAGGTGGCAGAGGTCAATTAGGTCGTGGATTTGTATCGTCACTTTGTTTTTTTTTCTCTCTACCGATTTTTGGGTTTGTATCGTCTGCCTCTAACACAAATCTTTTGCCAAACTGATTGTAAGAGAGAGAAGCTCAAATCTTTTAACGTGAGTACCCCAAATCTAAGTTATTTGAGAGAGAGAAAAGAAAAAAATCCAAATTGAGCCGACCGAACCCAACATATAATCGACCGGCCTAACATAATTACACCCTTAGTAAATAGACACATTATTTAATAGAGATGCATGCAGCTATGTCTCTAGCAAGTAGATTTAATAAATTTCAAAGAACATAGAGATAATTTCAACATTCTAAAAGCAACATAAACATTACCAAAAGGCAGAGCCAATGTCAAGCGGACAGAGCTGGGAAGGTTAGGACAAATGAATGGACCAACAACGTAAGTTGGAAGAACAGTGACAACTTCCAATCCATGTTGTTGGGAGAACTCGAGAGCTGCTCTTTCAGCCAATGTCTTGGAAAGTGGGTAAGATCTCAAAAATGGTACTTGTTCATTAATGACATCAATGTCACTCCAACAATTTTCATCCAAAAAATCAACTTTGTTGTCAGTAAATTCCATACAGGCTGCACTAGAAGTGTACACAACTCGTTTCACTGTCTTGGAATTCAGACAAACTTTCAAGATCCCCAATGTTCCATCAATTGTTCTTCTTACCACTGTTTCAATAGGCTCTTGTTCCTCATGATTTGAGTTAGCAAGATGGAAGACTCCGATGCAACCTTCAATGGCAGGGCCAAAACTGTCCGGGTCGTCGAGATCGGCATCGTAGATCTGGAGTCTTTCCGATGCTCCTGGTAGATTTGTGAGAAAGCTATAGTCTCTTTTCTTCTCTGCTCGATGTCAAATTAGTTAGGAAGAGATCAGTAGCATCTCCGTTTCTTGTTTCTCGAATCTAACTTTTAGAAACATTCTCAAAATTGTATAAAAACGAAAACGAGGCTTTACCTGGGTGGGATCTTACAGTGGTATTGACAGAGTAGCCATTGTTGAGAAGGTTCTTGAGGAGGCAGGAGCCAATGAATCCAGTGCCGCCAGTTACGCAAACTTTCCCCTTCGCCCCACCTTCCATTTCTGTTTCCCCACGGCGGATTCGATTGAAAATGGTGCAATCCCAGGCGATTGTTTATATTGAAAAATACGCCCATTTTCGATTTGGGGGAGATGGTGAATGCTCCAAATCTACTCCGTTGACTTGATTGGGACAACGACAAGTAATTTAATTACTGTAATTGGAGATCGAGATTAGGGTTTAAGGTTTATGACGCGTAGTTTTCGAGACGATACCAAGCAAAATTAGGAAAGTTATTTAGTTGATAACAATGTAACGGTTGAAAATTTGACATTTCATTACTTAATTATATTTTTCATCTGTCCAAAATTTAACGATGTCAACTTGAATATTTTTCAAATTTTAGCAAAACTTACCTCAATTTTGTTGTGTAGGGAGGAAGAAGCACAAAATGCCATGTGGATCGGACCAAGAATAGCAAGTCAAGAGCGTCGGTTCTTCCTACTTAAAACTTCAAAAGTAATGGTTCCTTAATCTTGCTTGAACTAAGAATCCAACTGCAGCTTCCTCGTACGACTTTAATAACGATTGTGGTAACAAAAAGATTCCTACCTAATGTCTATGAGTACGCTGTGTCACTCTCCTCAATCAAGTATGCAATTCTATTTGAAACCGACCTAGAGATTGAGACTTTTGACTGACTTGAGTTTATCCGTTGCATTCAGTCTTCCTAGTAAGCTTATGGTAGATCTCACTTTGGAGAATTCGACATGTTGAGACATGTAAAAATGGAAAACTACTTAAATGTGTGAATATTTTGTAGTGTAACATTCACGATGAGAATTCGAATAGATGATTTTTTTTAATTGGAAATATATACTTTTGGTAAATGATGTGATCTAAACGTGCCTAAATAGTTTTCTCTAAAAGCATTTGAATTGTTTTTAAAGGTGTGTAAATAGCAATTACATGATTTAAAAGTTGGTCTCCTTTAGAAGGAGAAAAGCCTTCGCATCCCTAACCCGACCGTGGGGTGGAACCAATTTGAATTTGGATCTTGATAGGTCGGTATTTTTATAATAAAAAACGGGTTACCAAACATCACCAAAACTTTCAAATCTTTTTTTAATAAGCTAAAGATCACTTTTTAATATCTATGGTATCCAAAATTCACGTGATGGAGATTCAATTAATTAATGTGAATGTAGTTCTTTTTTCCTCTCTCTTTCCATTAATTCTCTCTAAATTTAGAAACGTAATGAGATATGATCCCGTTATAAAAAATATTCATTGAAATTTTTTATTAAAAAAAATAGAGAGAATAGTGAAGGTAGAAGACGAAAAGTAAATAATAAAGAGGAAAAGTAAAAAAAATGAAAATTATATCGTGTACTTTGCTGCAGTTATATGTCATTGACAGCCTCTAACTAAAGTCACTAAGTGCAATTTCCTCTTTTTTCTTTTCCTTCTATCATTCTCTCATTTCTTCTTTCATCTCTCTTCTCTTTTCTTCTATGTCCTCCCCTCTTTTTAGCCACGCAACATCGATCAATTATCGACATTTCTGTCGATATCGACATTTGAAGAGGAAACATTAAATTAGTTTAGAAGTACTTTATTAAATAAATTATTGGGAGATGATTATCTAAAAAACTATTGACATTTCGAATATATATATAGAGGTAGAATAAACATTTATCATTTCTAACTTATTCTAAGCCTCAAAAGGTTAAAAGAAAAAAAAAATCTCACATCAACTTTTGGTTTCACCTAAATACTTTATATCAATTGAGATAATTGTCCTTATCTATATACCATATATCCCTCTCTTTCCTTTTCCCCCAAAAGGCCTCATTAAGAATTTTGGCCCATTGAATTTGGTCTAACGGTTTACTTTTTATTTTTTGTCGACCATTAAGTCAATGCAGGATAGTTGCAAAGGAATTTCATTACCTGATAATTGGTTTTAATCGTATAGAGATATGCTGAAATTATTGAGTTTTGACAAAATATTAGAATTGTAGTTTGTCTCCTATCGAAACTATACAAGGAGTGTGATCCAATACTATAAAAGGAGTTCGTGACTTAAAATCATAAGTTATTCCTCTTTGAATTTTTCGAAGAAGTTTTTTTTTCTCTCTCTTTTAGAATCTATATTATGTGACATATACTAATGGATCTCTGTGATCGAAGAACATGTTACCAGGAGCTAAACCTTGAAACTTTATAGACATATCTCATAAAAGTAGAATCTTACAAACAAACCCATTGGTTTTTGGAGGGTTATATATTGGCAAATTTCTCCAAATGCCCTCCAATTAAAAGAAAAGAGAGAAGCATAATTTAAAGACATAGTGTATTTTTTTCTTTATTTTGCAAAAGTTATGTCAGTGTCAGAGATAGGTGACAACACAACTCACATTTTTAGCTCTGATTTATTTTGATCTATACACACTTTTATGTTATGTCTATTTTGGTTTTTGTACGTTGAAAATACTTATTTTGGTTCTTATATATTTAAAAACTAGTCATTTTAATACAGTTTGTCAAAATTTGATATACAATCTAAACAGACTCTTTAATGTAAAGTTTTGACTACAATTCAAGAAATTAATTGAATATGTTGTCGTTTGAAATGTGATTGAGAAAAATGAGATAAAAAATAAATGAATCAAAACAGTCACTTTCAAACGTACATGGACCAAATCAAACACTTGAAAGTACAAAATCTAAAAATGGGAAAAATGAAAGTATAGAAACCAAAAAGGACTTTTCGAAAGTATGGGAACAAAATAAATCAAAACTGAAAGTATAGGTACCAAAATAGTATTTAAACATTCACGATACACACCTATCTTAGGAATTAGTAATTTCTATGTATTTCCCAACACCAAATGTTGTAGAGTTAGGTAGTTGTCCCGTGAGATTAGTTGAAGTATGCGTAAGCAGGTTCGAACACTCACCGATATAAAAAAAATAGTGTGAATTCTCACTCCTGCCCATTGTACTAAAAAAAAAGTCTATGAATTTTATCAAATAGGTCAACAAACTTTCAACCTTGTATTTAATATATTCTTTAACCTATTAGACATTTTTTTAAATCACAAACTTATTAATTGTAAAATTGAAAGTTCAAGATCAATCTTGTAGCTAATAAATTCACAATCTATAATCAAAGTCAAATTAGATCTCTCCAACACTTTTTAAGTTAAAAAAACTATTAAATCCAATCACTAAATTTATAATTTAACATTATGGCTAGAACTTCCTAGCAATCAATAGAAAAATTATTTAGAATTCCAAGAAACATGCAAAGGATACACAAGTCTAAAATAGAAGTTCTATCAAGCATATATAAGAGTAAGAGTGAAGTCTAGTAGATAGGAAAACAAGCCACACATCAACACTTTTTAGTCTCTTTTTTTGCAATATTCCCATATTCACTTCCCCTTTATTTCCTAAATATATATCGAGCATAAGCTAGAGATAACCCTTTTCTTTGCAGCTTTGAATTGCTTCATCAAATACCTCATAGATTCCGTGCTTGTATTCGAAACCAGTATCCAAAAGCTTCTTTGACGAGAACATGTGATTCTTGTCTTTGATGTAGCTTTTGACATCTTTCAAAGACCTACAACCAAGTACGACAAATAAAGCCTATATTTTCATTCTATTGAAAATTTTTAAGACTAAATAGACATGACTGTCAAAGTTCATAAAATAAATTTGTTATTTAACCTTTTTTAACCATTTCATAGTGGAGAAAAAAAGACTTGTAAGGACCATGGAAACTAGTAGGTAGTTGAACTCACTCAAGAGATGGTATCTGAAATTCTGGGTATCTAACAGAAAAGAATTTAACCAATTCTTCCAATGTCATCTTGTGGGAAGAGCAAACGTATCTCCCTTTGGCATTTGGATGTTCAAAAAGAAAAATGTGTGCTCTCGCCACATCATCCACATGCACCATGTTTGCATTTAAAAGGAATCCATATAATGCCTCAGTACCTGCACATATGAATTTTGAATCCATGATTTTACTCAATCTTCATCATTAATGTACACAATCAATAAAATACCGTTGTGACATCCTTGTTAGTCAATAATTTAGATATATGTATGTAATGTTATGCTAATTAAGCCAAAATTAATCTAATGAGTACAATATGTCACGTCAATATGTTTCAAAGTTTGAAGATGTAATTAAAACTTAAGTTAATTAAAGTATGAATTTAGTACCTAAACCTTCAGAGTTTCAATCGGTCTCTAACTTCAAAAATGTGTAATAAGCCAACTTTAAATATTGTGTCTAACAAGTCACCTTTAAAAAGTGTCAAGTGCGTCATCAAAAAATTTTCAATTTTGTGTCTATCGGATGCTACAAACATATTAGAAAATTTTCAATAGGTAATAGTTACCTAGCATGTTAGATGAGTTTTAGGTATTTTTAAAATTTTTAAAGTTGAAGTACCTATTAGACATAAAATTCATGGACTATATTTGTAACTCAACCTAAAATATTTCAAAGTTTGGGGAGTAAAGAGTAGGGGTGTAAAGAACCGAATCAACCAAAAAATCGAATCGAACCGAGTTTTTTCGGTTCGGGTCAATTCCAAGATTTGTCGGTTCGAGTCAGTTTTGACCCAAACAACTCAAAAACCCTACCTCCTCCCATGCATGGAAAAAACTGCCTGCATGGTCAAATGACAATCCGATGCATGCAGCTGTTCCAGCGAGTAGATTTAACAAATTTCAAAGAACACAGAGATACTTTCAACATTTAAAAAGCAACATAAACATTACCAAAAGCCAGAGCCAATGTCAAGCGGACAGAGCCGGGAAGGTTAGGACAAATGAAGGGACCAACAACGTAAGTTGGAAGAACAGTGACAACTTCCAATCCATGTTGTTGGGAGAACTCGAGAGCTGCTCTTTCAGCCAATGTCTTGGAAATTGCATAAGATCTTAAAAATGGTACTTGTTCATTGATGACATCAATGTCACTCCAACAACTTTCATCCAGAAAATCAACTTTGTTGGGAGTAAACTCCATACAGGATGCACTAGAAGTGTATACAACTCGTTTCACTGTCTTGGAATTCAGACAAATTTTCAAGATCCCCAATGTTCCATCAGTTGTTTTTCTTACCACAGATTCGTCAGGTTCTTGGCCCCCAGGGTTTGGGTTAGCGACATGAAACACTCCAATGCAACCTTCAATGGCAGGGCCAAAACTGTTCGGGTCGTCGAGATCGGCATCGTATATCTGGAGTCTTTCTGATGCTTCCGGTAGATTTGTGAGAAAGCTATAGTCTCTTTTCTTCTCTGCTCAAATGTTAAAATGTAAACAAATTAGTTAAATGACGAAAACCAAATTAGGTAGAATCCGTTTGGTAACCTTCCTGCAAATTTATTGTTTATTGTTTCTAATTTTCTAAACAAATCTAACCATTTTGCAATTAACTTTGTTTCTTACTTTTCTTTATCCAGAAACATTATCATAATTGTATAGAAATTCTCGAAACAATCAAAACAAACAGTGTCTTCTTTCTAGTTCATTGTATTATTTCTTCTCTACTCAATATTAAAATGTAAACTAGTTTAGACCAAGAAAATCAAATTGGCTAGGACTCGTTTGTTAACGTTCTCATTTCTTATTTTTTCTTTCTAATTTTTAGGATTCTACTTTCTTTACTAAAGAAATAGAAACCAGAACGTTACCAAACAAATCCGTAACATTCCATTTTTTATTCCTTGTTTATCGTTTCCAAAATTGTATAGAAAAATTATAACTATCGCCCAAAGCCAAAGGGAGTTTACCTGGGTGGGATCTTACAGTGGTGTTGACAGAGTAGCCACTCTCCAGAAGCTTCTTCACCAGCCATGAGCCGATGAATCCAGTGCCTCCAGTTACACAAACTTTCCCCTTCGCCCCACCAGCTTCCATTTCTCTTTCTCCCTTCGGCAGATTTCAACTCTGAATGGCGATTTTATATATTGGAAATAAGGGGCCATTGAAATAATTGAATCGCTGAAACATTCGAGATTGGGTTTGGGGTTTATGCCGTGTAGTTTCTGGAGACGATGCTAATTCTGGTCCTGGTGTGATCGACACGACAAGAATTCGGAGAAATGACAAAATTGTCCTAAAAAGTCTTCCATTTACTCGAATAATTTAACCTTTCTAACCACTTCTTTTTGTAATATAAATCAATATTTTATTTAATCATAGGAAATGCCAAATTAATTATAATCATGCCCCCTCTCTCTTCTCTCCACTTTCCTTATTCTCAAATTTATCTTCTCTTCTTTGGGTTAAAAACAACCCGACCCGGTGAACCCAATGTTAAAAAATCAAACCTTCAATATATCTAGAATAGGCCAAAAAATTATAAGTTATTTCAGTTATTTCGAATTACCTCGATCTATGAGTTGGAATGAGTTGAGATTCCAAATTAAAAATATCTACCTGGTTTGGAAGAACCATAACCCTGTATTTATAATTGATTATAGGGTTTTTCATAATACACTAGGATCAACGGGTTGGTCACTACAGATAGGAAGTTTATGAGCTCTATACATTTAATTTATCATAAATTGTTACCCAGTTAATGAATTAATTTAATTAATTCCAACCTCCAACCTAAATCGGGTTGGGTTAGATAAAGGCTTGGTTTGGATAAGGTTGCAGATTTTACGAATCGAGTGGTTCGATTCAATTCGCTGATTCACTCTTTAAAAAATCAGTTCAACCCGAGTCGAATCGAAATCATTAATATATATTTTTTGTTAACTGTTTTTAACATGGTGAAAACCTTTTCAGATTATTTCTGACAATTTTCCAAAGTTTTTTAGTGTGTATTTTGGCGCCTTTTGTTAGGGAGTGCCCATTAGTCAAAAACTTATGCTTTTCTAATCTTTGTACAAATGGACCATCGACAGGTGCTGAAAAGAGGGGTCCGGAGGTGGAGAAAATAGGAGATATAAAAGGAAATGATAGATAGAGAAAGAAATAAGAAAAATGAGAAGAAATAAGTGGAATGGAAAAAAAGAGAAAAAAAAAAAAGTAGAGAGAGAGGGGGAGGGAAAGTGAAAATTGAAAAGGGAGAATATTAAAAATAAAGGAAAAAAAAAAAGAGAGGAAAAAAGAACCTCCACTCACATGAATCATGGATATGATAGATTTTTAAAAGTGATCTTTGCTTATTAAAACAATATTTGAAAGTTTTGGTGGTGTTTAGTAACATGAATAACTAGTGCTTGTTTCAAAAGCAAGTATTCATATAAAAGAAAAATAATCTCAAAACTCGCTTTTTTTTTCCTCCTTTCGTCTCTTCCTTTTGTTGGGATTGGTGGAGCCAAATCAACACCGGAACGAGTTAGAAATGAAAAACAAGTGAGAAAGCGAACTACAAGCCATGGAGCTGTGGAGGCAGCGCCGTGACGCTGTCACAATGGGAGCATGGACAAATTTTTCCATCCGTAGTGCCATTGCGCAGTAACGACATTTTATAAATACGACCGCTTCAGTTTTAGGTTTTTTGAATCGTTTGGAGCCGATTTTTTAGTAGTTTTGTGGCAGTTTTGAGGTCAGAGGCTCGAGGTACTGGCATAAGCTTTTGGGGTATTCAAGATAATTATATCTTGATTCTATTGTGAGTTCTCATTCCTATACCTAATACTTAGAAGCTAGAGGGCTTTTGTTGAGACTTCTCGATGGTGAATATCGGGGTGAGGTATTTAGTGCTTGTATCCAATCTCCTTGTTAGTGGAACCTACATTTGAGCGAAAGACGGGACGTAACCTATAAACTATTGGGGTGAACTAGTATAAATATTTTATATGAGGTGATGGGTGTAGGTCACCAAAGATCGGTGTGAACTAATAAAAAAGAACAGTGACATGTGAAGTAAAATTTAGAAACAGAAGTGTATGAGATTTACCACACTTACAAGCTTCACATAAATTAAAATTCTAATCTTTCCTTCCTAGTAGATTACACTTACTAAAGTATTCAAGGCCCTTTGCATGGGTGACCAAGCCTTCCAAAATGTGAACATATTGAAAATTTTAATTTACTATTTATTTTAAAATTTTAAATTTATTTTTATAATTATAGTAAGAATTAAATAAATAATACCATATTAAAAAAAAATGGTAAAAAGGTTAAGCACTCAACTAGGCCTTTTAGAATTCTAATTGCAAAAATGGATTTACTTTTAGAATTTTCACTTTGGACAACGATAGGAATGACTAAAATAAATAAGGCTTTTTAAAAAATGGTCAAACATATAAGATATTGTTGTTGGCTTTTTGCTTCTTAATCTCGGTTAATTAATTAAATTAATTAATGTTTTGATGACAACAAACACACTTAGTATTAATTGTTTTTGGTGTGTAATAATTATTGTTATAAAGCATAAATTTATTATAAGCTTCAATCATATTATATGATTTATTATAATACATATTTTGTTATTGGATAATTTTAGTGTTTTAATAATAAAACTTGTTTTTTACCTTCCTGTAATTTAGGAAATATTTTAAAATAAAAAATAGACATGGAACCGACTACATGAATGTGTCGTTTAAAATCAAACTTGAGAAGTATATCTACGTAAGTTCAACTACTTTATATAGTATATATACATGTTATTGGTGACCTTCTAATTTTAATATTTATTCAATTAGTATATACATGTATTGACCTCCTAATTTTGATATTTCTTCAATTAGTATATACATGTATTTACCTCTTAATTTTGATAATGAGTTGCATTGTGATATATACATGTATTGTCATCCTAATTTTGATATATACGTATATTGACCTCTTAATTTTGATAATTGAGTTGCATTCTAATTTTGATAACTGAGTTGCATTATGATATATACATGTATTAACATCCTAGCTAGTTTTGATAATTCTTGAATTGGTACATGTATTGACCTTCTAATTTTAGTAATTAAGTTGCATAGTGATATATATATGTATTTCTAAATTTAATAATTATTTCATTGGTATATACATTTATGGACCTTCTAATTTTGCAAATTGAGTTGCATAATGATATATACATGTAATTATTCAATTGGTATATACATTTATTGACATTCGATTTTTAATAATTCATCAAATGTTTAAAAGGATGACAGAAAGTTTGATGAGATTGAAAGGGTGAATGATGAATCGACAAATGAAGAAAAAAGAAATAAATCAATCAACAAATGAAGAAAAAAGAAATAAATCAACGTCGAAAGAATATTAAGAAACTTAATTTGATAATGATATGCGCTTAAATAAATCCACACAATCTATTGTTGCAAAGAAATAAGGGAAGCTTAGAAGAGGATACAGTAGAACAGTAATGTGAGACAGTAGAACAATGACAAATCATTTAAATTAATTGAAATTCAAAACAAATAATTAAAATAATTAATTTAAAATCTCTTTAATTTAGTAAAAACAATTTGAATTCAAAGCAAAATTGCTAGGCAGTTGAATATAAGAAAAACTCAAAAAAACCACGAAAAATCGTATCGTTGGAAAATCATCATATCTTGTAAAACTCCTATGGCTATTTTTTAAAGTGGGTGTCAAAATTTAGTCATCCACTTAAATATCTCTTTCACTTTTATCTAAAAATGGCCCGTCTAGGGAAACATACACAAGACTTTAACGATGTTACAAATTGGAATATATGATTAATACACAATTAAATAAAATTTTGAAAATTGAAAAATTATTAGTTTTGGGAGTTTCCTTTCAAATCCCAAACAAATTTCATCCAAATTTCAAATCTCTTCATATCTCATGGGAAAAAATATATATATATATATATATATATATATATATATATATGTTTATATAATATAATATATTGGGGATATATATAATATATTGTTTTATTATCATCGAAACATTAATTAATTTAAGATTACGAGTCAAAAAACCAACACCAATTACTGCTAAACATGGTATAATAGGGGAGATATGTTATTATCCTGCTATATGTTAAATAAAAAAATATATATTATATAACTTTCCAGTTTAGTATATAAATATATATTATATAACAAAGACTATATACTGTATATTATAAAATTAAAATGAAAAATATATTATATAATGGTCTTTAAGATATATTATATAATCTAATAGTGAGTGTATACTATATTATATAACTTCTTGATCGGTGTCGAGGAAGCTTCCGGTGAATAAACTTACATTAAAGAAAATTTGGAATGTCGAGAAATTTTGAATGTAGAGCAATTCTAGATAAATCTTTGATTGGGTGGAAATTTCAATTTAAAAATAAAAAAAGGAAGACTCACGAAAATTTAATGTTGCACGAAATTTAAATTTTTGATTGAAGCTTTGGAAAAGTTTGAAAATATATTGATATTTACCATGGGTGTCCACAAAATATAGTGAGATTCGAATCTACCTTCAATATAATTATTCAAATACAAAATACATGACATTAAATTAATTGGTATTAATTAATGACAACTTGGGAACAAAATACTTGATATAATAACCATTTATGAAATATTGAGTGTAATTGGAATAAAACATCTCTAACGTGCTTAGAGTTGAGATTTAAATTGAAACTTTGGGAATGCATGGCACCAAACTTAGATTACGAAGCCTCTTTATATTTTTGTCAGTTTTTTTTCTTCCAAACTTCTAAATTGACATATTGTAACGTTCGACTAGAGATGAGGGGTACGTGAATGAACCGATACCACATCTGAATGAGATAGATCCTGAGATCATGAAAGAATGATCCATAAAAGCTTAAAAAGAATTGATAGTCACCATCTATACCAACAAGGTGCATCTTCATTTTCGGTGGCTCAATCGTAAGAATTGCTCTTCTAGAGTAGCTCAGAACTTGACGGCGACACAGCCAGATTGCAGGGGAATGTCGGGACAAAGAGGTGCCGAATTCGGATTCCGAATCCTGGACCTAGAGCGTTAGACATATGTTAGCTCCTAATTTTTTTAATATTTATTATATTTATAAAAATATATTTTTCATTTGTTAAATTGAAATATTCAAACTCATTCTTTAAATAAAAATAGAAATAATGACATATATACAGTATTATGA